ACTCCATTACGTTTGGAGGAAAGTCGATCAAATCTGGGAAGAAACAAGAATTTTGTGTATTTCAGGCTAGGGCTTCCGCGCCCCGCACCCTAGTCTATTTTTGGAAAATACTCCCCTGTGGTGGAGTCTGAACAACCGTATCACGTGGCGGACCCGCCATCAGATTATTCAAGCGTCAGGTCTAAAATTTAGGGCGTATTTCCCAAGCAGGGACTAGGCCAGGGCCCGCAATTTTCATCGGTTGGAGCCTCTAAGACAATAAAAGGGTCCTTGTGTCTGGAGACCACAGTGCATAACAAGGGTCATGTATGGCAAGGAACCCAGAATCGGCCTGGGGCAGCGCTGGAGGGGGACCGCAGAAGTGCCTTCGATCAAATGCTTGATTGGAAGGTACGAGGGCGGGCTGCAGGTCACATTAAGGACCCGGTCTGCAGGGCCGGGCGCTCAGATGTCACTCGGAGAGTTTCTTGTACCGTTTGGGGACACCGTAGGACAATGCGGGCCTCTATTTCGGTCAGAGACCAACAACAACGAACAGCCGACACCCATGGATGAGCATGGATGCCCTTGTAAGGCATCCTAGGCAGGAGGGGTCACTTGCCGCTCCAGCCCACTTTTGTCCCCCTAGGTTCAGTGACTGGTGACCGCCTTGAACCGGACATGGGACGGGTTCGTCACACGTGGCGTCGCCTGGAGGAGCGAGGAGCTGCCGCAGACCTCTGGTGCCGGCACGGCTCGGACCGAGACGCTCACGGCCGTGTACTGCGTTGGCAGATGCCCGGGCCGGCGGCGGTCCTGCTGACGCTCACGCTGCTGGCGTTCGGGACGTGCATGCGGCCTCCGCGCTGGGGATGGGACGAGGATTTTCTCCCGCCTATCCCCGTCACAGGTAAATGAGCTGCACGATTTAGAGCGCTGCGATGCGTGGCTGATGGCGAATGTTGCGATTGCTCTCGTGCGCAGTTCACGGTCATATGCCCAGGTGTTTTTCGTAAAACGGCTGATCGGTCTCAGATTTTGGCTTGTTTCACGGCGAGCACTTGCGCCTTCGTGACACGGCGTTGACGACTGACGCACCAATGCGCTGTGTCTTGCAGAGAAGCTGCGCTGGCTCCGTCACACGTCCCCGATCGCCCCGGCCGGGTCCATCTGGGACATGATGGCACGCGCCGATAGCTGGCCGGAGAAAGGCACGCTTGTGAACCAGGAGAAAAGTCCGGCCGGAGAGCAGGGCGACGATCGAGTGCCGGAACAGGAGGAGGTCACTCACGCGGAGCAGGAGAGGCACCAAGCCGCGCGACAGGAGCAGCCGGAACAGCAGGAGACTGCACAGAGCGTCGAAGCGCCTGTGGTGCAGCTACCCGACCTTGACGACGCGCCGAGTGTGGACTCGAACGCCACCGGTGTCACCGGACCGCCGACAGACGGAGCCGACCTCGAGCCGGGCGAGACGAGGCACGTGACCAGCGCCGGCGACACGTCCCTGAGGACAGCCAACGCCATCGGGTCAGCCCTGCCGGCGGCGGCGGCGGCCAAGACGGGCGCGCTGGCCCCGCCGGCGGCCGAGCGGCGCGTGTTCGCCGGCCGCGCGCCGAGCGAGCGGAGCCGTCGCATGCGGCTGGTGCAGGACTTGCACCGTCCGCAGACGCTGTCGCTTCAGTCGCCCGACTTCCGACACGGCGCCTTCGTCGGCCGGCTGCACAGCAAGCCAAACCCCTGGCTGCAGCGCTACGCGCCGTTCTACTACCCCGAGAACCCGGTGCCGTTGCAGGTGGAGCTGCAGAGCCACCAGCAGCCGGCGCCGGACCTGCGCGAGGTGAGGATAGAGGACATGGTGCTGGTACCGCCCTCCAGCTACCCCGAGCAGGTGCTGAGGACCATCCACGACGCCAAGCTGCGCTCGCTGCCCATGCCGCACGAGGTGGTGCACGTTAACCTGGGCGCCGTGAGCGCACCGCCGGCGGAGAACGAGGTGGACGCGGGCCGGTACGCGGGTGAGCACGTCACGAAGGACGGACCCGGCGACGAACTGCGGCAGCCAGCCGGCTGGATCCAGGACCATCTTGCACCAGTGACGGCGGGCAGCCCCCACGCGGTTAGCGTGCAGAGTTCCGGTCCCGGCAGTCTCACTGCTGGCGGCCGGAATCCGCCGGTACTGCCCGCTCGTGGACCGGTGCCAGCTGGCGTCCGGGATCCGCACAGCGAGCACTCAGGGGCTGGGTCGCAGAGAGGCGGATACGACGGGCCGCAATATCCGCGCGGGGAGAACCGGGGCACCCGGCGGAGGCCGGCGTCCCCCGCGTCAGACGCGTTCACCGACTACTCCCCGCCCAAGGCGGAGGACATCGTGTCAGTCAACGAAGCCGACCAGTACGTGTCGCATGAAAACCATGTGCACAATGTGCCGGCGCCCACTGCGGTCGCGTCTGACGGTTACCTGTCGCCCGATCCCCTCGACATCCTGCTCGTCGACACGCCCAATGAGGTCGTAACGATCGAGGAGGAGTACGAGCGGAGGCCGCCATCAGCTCCCGGGTACGCCTTGCCCAAGCTGAATGACATCATCGACATCGACCCATTCGACCCGTACGTCCCCCCTCAAGCGTCAGTGTACCGCCTGCCGACGGTCCCATCGCCCAGCCCCGACGGGGCGGGCGGCTTCTCTCCCCCGAAGCCGGACGATGTGATCTCGCTGGTTGACTCGTTCCGGTACGACGAGGCGCGTGGGACCGCCGCCGAGCCTGAGGAACAGCGGGCGCAGTACGGCGCGCCGAAGGCGACTGACGTGATCTCCGGCTCGCGGCCGGCCGCGCCGCTGGCAGCGCCACCTGGATCGGCCGGCGGACAGGCGGCGCTACCGGCGTCGGGGCCAGGATACGGCCGGCCCAAGCAGAGCGACCTGATCCGGTTGACAGGCGGCAGAACCGACGGGGAGAATACGGCGAGCCCTGTCGACAGTTCGGCAACGGCGGGGTACAGGACTCCGAAAGCGGAGGATGTCATCTCTTACGAAGGCCTCTCCCCGGCGAGTGGTCAGCTGATCGCACCATCTAGCGGTGTGTCGTTCGACGAGCCAAACCGAGCTACAGGTGACGTTCGTCCATCACCACAGAAAAATATCCGCCAGACGAAAGAGTCCTTACATAAATTAGCCAGTCCCCTTAATGATTACCAGCTTCCAAAGGCGGAGGACATCATTCTAGTCAGCGGCGACTTCGTAGGCGTCCCGGAAGAGTCGGTGGTGCACAAGCGCGACAGCATTGGTCCCGATGACAAGATCGGCGACGTTTCGCTGCAGAGTCTGCTCGCACCGACCGAACTCGCCCCCTTTGACGACGTTCGGGAGGGCTTTCGGTTAACCTCACCGGTCATCGACGCCGTGACTACGCAGCACTCCGCGAGCGCCTCGGATGACAGCGAGTTCGACGGAAAGCATCCCTCGGCCGATGACACGCCGACTCCAGCGACCCCGCCCCCCGCCCCGGGCCATCACGCAGACCGTCTGGAGCCGGGACCGACCGCCGCTGACCGTGGGTTTCGCGCCAGCGCCCCGGACCCCTCCAGCGCAGATGCTACCGCTGCCGGAGAGACCTCGCCGGGGACGCGCGCCACCGAGCTCGGTCTCGGTCCCCTGCCGTCGCCACAGCCGCTTGGCGCGTCCCTGCAGGAGCTCCGCCGCCAGTCGGCGCTGGTGTCGGCCCAGCTGGACGAGTTCCCCGACGGCGTGCAGGGTGCGGACGGAGAGCGCAACAAGCGGCGTCCGCCGGCGCTGGCTGCCGGCGACGGTGGCGCCGCCCAGCGGGAGGCGGCGGCAGTGCCGGAGAGCAGTCCGCTCTTCGCGGACGAAGTCTGGCGGCCCAACCGGCCCCCGTTCGCGCGGGCGTCGCGTCAACTGTCGGCCGGCGACCCGGACCGCTGGGTGTGGCCCACCTCGAGTACGACGCGCCAGGGGCGGGTCGTCTTCCCGGAGTCGTGACCACCAGATGCGCGGGCTGCGCTCCTTCTGGGAGTCTGACGCTCCCGCTGGAGCAAGACCTTGTCTTTCCAGCCGTGGTCGCCCTCGTGTCGAGGCTCACTCCAACCGTTTCCAGCCGGGGTGCACCTGATCTTTGAGACAGGTGTCCCTGCGCGGCCTTCGGCAGCCGTTTTGGTGCGTCACGCCCGAGCGGTCCAGAGCCTGTGGTCCTCGCTCAGTAGCACTGGCCTCAAGCTGTCGTTGGAAACCCACCTGCTCACCTACAGTCGACCAGCAGCGATCTTGTGGCGACGTGATGGCAACGTGTGGATGGTGGCCTGTCGATTTTGTAGTAACGGATGGCAACGTAGCCCTGCACTGGTAATCATCCGTGTGTGGTGTAACCAGGTTGTAATGTTCATGCCATGTGGTGTCGATAACGCTCCATGTTTGTTGCGAGAAGCGCCGTCGATCGTTTCGCAGCTTTCCCGGCCATATATCACTGTACTGGACCGTTGTCACTTGTTACGTTCGGCAAACAAATGCCGTTCATCTTTGGAACTGATCGTTATGTAGGTGTAGCTTCGTAGCAGGGTATACATTGTCATGTTCTCTTGACGCTTTATCTTGGATTACACACGGAAAATTTAACCTGGAATGTTTGACTAGCTCCCGACCTTATTACACCTTGTAAAACCAGAGACGCCGCGCGTCAGACATCCCAAAGTATATAACTTGCGTGATGAATCCAAGTCCGGTCTGGCAAAGCAAACAGCGCAGCCGTAGCCGGTTTCACTTCGCTTACTGCTCACTTAGCAACACTTGGAAATCGTTGCAACTGACAACTTCATAAAGCTCAAGTTCTTCCGCAAACAGGCCCCTCCCCGCGGACAGCATGGGCTCATAATCGTCTGAGACAATCGAAACGTTTTGACAGCATTGCGAAGTGTACCTCCTCACAAAAAGGCTAATGCCAAAGGTTTCAACGCATGTTTGTGCAACACCCCATCACGATCACCAAAGCACGGAAACGAAAACGGACGAATATATCGTTTATTACATTTAAAGAAAACTTTAACATTGCGCAATTAGTACAGCTAACCGCCAGTACATACAAAATGGCTAAAACGACTCTAGCGGGGAGCGCCGACCCCGACCGAACGACAGAGAAGGACCGATGAACACGGAACACAACACTCGCCGAGGAACGGAAAAACGCGCGGACGGCCGCGCGGCGCGGCGGGCACCACGCGACCGCGCTGCCTCCGGGCCCGTGGCGCCGCCTAAAGCCATCCGAAAATCAACAACACCAACGGAGCAGCACTCAACTCATAGACGAACCGAACACGCCGCTCCAATCGCGGAAATTTCGGACCCAATGAAGTTGGCAACCATGCTACGGAAATTAATTTGACGCAGCATATGAATAACTAAAAAGCAACACTGCGAAATCGATTGGCCAGCACAAGCTCCACACACTCTCGATTATGACTTAACGTTATGCGTTGATTTCCACATTATGGTAAACGTTGTTAAAAGTACCACGGCGGCCAAGCGAACTTGATTGCGGTCGTACACCAACTACGAAGGCGGTGCCTGCTGCTATGCCTCGGTCAGACAGGTGGCCAGCGGGTTTGCATCTCGATTAGACAGGCGACCAGACGCGGCGCCACCATGGCACGCACGGTCAAAACATACCAGAGCTCACAGCGCAGAGAGATTACGTTTTCTCCAATCGTTTCACAACCAGCGCGGGCGCGCGCACCAGCCGTCAGCGCGCGCGGCGGCGCGGCGGCGGCCGCCGCGCCCGCGGCACTACAGGGTATACGACGACTATGTCACAGCTCCAGCGAGTGGAAAGGCAAATGATATGAGAACAGCGGACGACTACCCGAGCGCACCACTACCAGGGAGCACGACGACCTGGGGCGAACGCTAATAATGCTCCTTATTGCGCGCAGCCGAGAACCGCGAACACGTGTGAGACGGAGGCCGCGCGGCCGGCCGGTCCTGTGACTATGTTGTACGTAGCCGATTTTGCCGCGCCCGGCGCAGCAGCCGGGTCGCGTCCACCGCAATTTATCACAAACCAGCACACACACACGCACACCCACGGACGTGCGCCCGGGCGGGCGGGCGAGGCGCCGGCCGGTGGCGGCGGCCGCGCCGCGCCGCGCCCGGGCGCAGGCGGGAGACCCACGCACCGTTAAAGCTGACTGGTAGAAAAAAGAAGAAGCGCTCAGCAGCAATTCACATATGTACAATATTCCGGGGCGTGCCGGTGGGCGCCTCCTGGCGCCCGGCTAAAACGTGTCACCATTTGAAATTTGAGCTGTCTTAAGATCACTCGAGGACGGCGTCATAGGTAGATCTGCCAGCCGCGGACCCTCCGGTGTGAGCTGCGCGCGAGCTCCATGGCCGCCGTACCCTGTTTCCACCACGGTGCCCGGTCCAGTCAACATCCGACAGCAGCACGGCACAACCCAGCTGCCGGGCCGGCGGCGCCCGTCACCAGCCCTGTTTCCCCGCCGAGCATGCGCTGACCGCCGGCAGCGCGGCGCGGTCCACTCGCCCGCTGAGTAACCGGACAAAGCCGCCCGAATCCCTGGAAATGTCGCACCAAAGCCCCGCCCGGCGTCCGCAGACGGTGCGGGCGCGCCGCCGAGCCAGCGCCCTCTGGCGGCTGCTGCGGCCCGACCGTGGGCCGAGTCAGTCTCCGGTGGAGACACAGCCAGGAGAAGGCAGGGCCAAACACACAACACGCGCGGACACCGACCGCCTGGCCGCCGCGTGCGCTGCACCACAGCGGTCGCGTCCGTCCACCCATGCGAGGCTGAAGGGGCAGCGGGCCGCGGCGCTCCCCCGGCTATTTTGACTAAGCTCACGTGAGAAACTCCATCGATAATCTAGCTACACAACTACCGGGCTATCGGAGCCGACTGCGGGCAAACCCGCCCAACCCCACACACCCCTGCCGGCTACCTACCGCGTACGTGTACCCCACACACCAAATCTGTATACAAAACAGGCTCGCGCGCGCGCACTGGCACCGGCCCCGCGCCGCCGGGGCGTCGTGCCGTACATAACCTGAGTGCGAGTCTTTGACAATTGTGCCCGGTGGTGGTGGGCGGACAGGGAGGGGCGGGGCCGGGCCGGGCAGACGCCCTCCCGCCCGCCGATCCCACCACCTCCCAGCCCCGGCGGCCGTCCCGCGTACGTGGCCCGCATGGGGCGGCAGACCCCAAACGCCTCTAGCACGTCTACCGACAGGGTGGGTTCAAGGCTGGGCTGAGGTGGTGGCACTAGAGATTCAATTGCACATGCTACAGAAAGGCAAGTATTAGGACATAACTTCTACCGACTGTTTTTAATATCTAGTTGCGTCGCCCTTGACTCTCCAAGGTTACTTATGGTAATCTATATCACACGAATAGGATGAGGGCGAGGTTAGGACACCCCGACATAACAGGCCCAAAGCCGGTGGTACGTCACTAATTGCACAAACTTTGGCAGCGAAACGTCAACTACATACCTTGGACTTTACACTTCGGAGGCGAGCGTCAAGCGCCACTAGCCGATTGCCTCGCTAATCCCCTTGAACCATGCTAGCGTCACAGGAGCGAAGTTCTACCCAACCAGCGTCAGACGGCGAATTGGCATGAGCTATCATGAAAGGCGTAAGTACAAGTTCTAAGCTCCGTAGTGTATCAAACAATACCTCAGCGCGGAGCGTGCGGCCGCTGGCTATACACAGGGGGCCAACACTAGGCTTGGACCGACGCATGAACCTGAGGTGCATAGATTGAGAGGAAGCTGGCGCGGCTCGCCGGCACCACTGGCGCCGTCCCACTGGCCAATTTGGACGCGGCCGACTGGCGCGCAGAAGCGGGGCGCCTTCGGAGAGAACAGCCATCAATCACGACGGAGAGCGCAGTCGGGCCGAGCGGCGGCGGCTGGACGCGCCGCCGCCGCCCGCGCCTGCCGGGCGGACCCAGCCCGCTCCCGCCGGGCCCCCACGCCGACTCACGGCGGCCACACGCCCACGCCCACGCGCGCGCGCGCGCACACACACACACACGTACGAACAAGGGCTAGCAGTTACGTTGGTCCAACGATGAGATAGGCTGAGGTTAGATAATTTACAGCGTCGCCCGGCGGCGGCGGCTCAGTTGGCCGGCTGATGCTCGTCGGCCGCCGCCGCGGCGGCGCTGGCGGCCGGCGCCTCCTGGTCGGCCGACGGCGGCGGCGGCGGTGGCGGTGGCGGCGGTGGCGGCGGCAGCAGCAGGGCCTCGGCCGACACGTCCTCGGCGGCTGCCAGCTCCGGGTTCAGCGCGAAGTGGGTGGTCAGCACCAGCGCGCACCAGATGGCCGTGCGCGTGCGGCGCGAGCAGCGCGTCAGCTCCTGGATGGCCGCCGCCAGCTTCAGGATGTCTGCGAACGGCCGCCGCGTCACGCAACGCCATGGCTGTTGTGGCAGAGTGACAGACAGCTCACACAAGTCATCCAAATAGCGGCAGTAGGAAAACTGGCATATTCACGGACGTGGAACAAAAGCAGTCGCAATATCATTATCATTGAGTGGCTCAAAGTGTAAAACACTGGACAAACCGCACACGTATGTCCTATAAACCGTGTACATTCCATGCGACAGCTCGCAAGACATGGTGACATCGTAATGTACGGCTGTAAGCTGCCGCGCAGCGCAAGGCGTACGTCATCGCTGCTAAACGTTCCCCAGGGCATCAAACCAATGTCCAAAAGCTGTAGGATGGTACATCCTCTAAAGAATCGACTTCCATCTACGTGAAAATTCCACCGTCTGACTCTCCATCGAGCGTACGTCTCCCAACGTTTGGCAAGGCCCACATAACCTGCTGACAAAGCCCAGCTTTGCGCCGGTCAGTCACGAGGGCACCATGCGCGCGCTTACCCTTGTCCTCCTGGATGCGCGTGCTGGACGGATTGCCAGCGCGCGCGCGACTCTGCGCGTTGACGATCTCCTCGCCGCGGCTGGCCTGCACCTTCTTGATCACCTCCAGCATCTGCTCCAGCGTGGTGTGGATGTTGCGGTGCATGCGGCAGTTGCGCAGTCGCTCCGTCTTGGCCACCAGCGTGATCACCTGCGGTCGGCAAGAGAGGGGGGGGGGGGGGGGTCAGGATAACACTGACTGAATCTACCAGCGACGAGCGCGAAGACTCCGCTGTCGTCATGGCACTGCGGCCGCGGAACTCGGCCTATTTCAGCGCACGCCAGCCACTACGCTTGTTGTTTTAACCGTGCTGTTTGATGTCCGGTGCTAACAAATTAACACACACCCCCCAATATATGTATATATATATATATATATATATATATATATATATATATATATACACATAGGTGTGTGTATATACACTGCGTACGTCTGCAACAAGCTACTCGGGTGCGCTGGGTGAACCCAAGTCCGGATAGACGCAACAAGTGAGGAGAGCAATGCCACCCTCAAACCAAAAACTAGATTTAACATAAAAGAAATAGTTGTTCAGTGCATTAGTGAGGAACATTAGTCACATACATAAGGCAGTAGTATTAGCCTTATTCCTTGGAAAAAACAGGAGAACGGAGATGTAGTTAGGTTGATATCTAGGTAACGTGCCTTTCTCGAAACAGTAACAGAAGTCTTAGTGGCATGCTGTGGCATGCCACTGGTCTTAGTGGCATGGCATTTAATCAGAAAGATGTGTTGCCAAAATATCAACCTAACTATATCTCCATTCTCCTGGTTTTTGCGAGGAATAACGCGAATACTACTATCTTACAAGAAATGCACATGCAAAGCACGAGAGGCCAGCAAATCGTTCCCTGCCATAGGTCGCAGCCCCACGCAACCAATACATTGAATGAGCGGACTGAGCCGGCTGGCGCGCGGCAGCAGGGCGCCAGCGCCACTCACGCGGGCGTGCTCGCGCCGATGGTCGACGATCAGCCGGTCCACGCGCGACGGGTTGGTGGGCAGACGCGGGATCGGAATGTTGTTGGCCGACGACACCTTCTTGCCGGGGAACTGGCGCGCAAGCTCCGCCTCCATCTTCTTGCGCTCCTTCTCCAGCTGCTTGAACTGGTCGTAGCACTCCTCCAGGCGGATGTGCAGCTCGTTGGACGGGCCGCTGCGGCTGCGGGAGGGATCGACTGGCTGTGCATGGGGTGACCAACTGGCTGAGTATAAACACCGTCCAGCTCACTTGGTCGGCAGGCCCCCCAAAAAACCACGAACATGATTTTTTAGACGATAGGATTACACCACCGTGCCTTCAGCTGTTCACATTATGCTGAGAGGGCACGGGGATCTATAAGGTTCACCCGATCATATGTTTAGCTCCTCATTGCATTCCCTAGAAAACAGAACGCCCCAGGTACGTAAAAAGTATAGACCAGGCTACATGCATATGACACGAAACACAACCCCCAATATCAAAGGAAGGCAAATAGAGGCACCTTTTTCTGCATTCCTGTTCGTAACGAAGGTCGACATCTGGGCTGCCGTAACACCGTACATGTCAAAGTACAGGTCACCGGCATCCCGTCCACCGAGCACCATCACCAGTCCTCTCCCCCTCCTCCTCCTCATCCCTCCTGCCCATCGCGCAGAAGACCTGACCGCTCCGGCCGCTTACCGGATCGGCCTAAAGCCGAAGAACGGGTGCGGCATGGCCGGGAAGAAGCCGCCGTGCGGCGGCAGCTCGTGCAGCGGCGGCAGCTCGCCGGCGCCGTGGCCGGCAGACGCCGCGAACGGCGGCGGCGGAGGCGGCGGCAGTGGCGCCGGCTGGCCGCACAGCGCGCCGAACATGTCTGCCGGGCGGCGACAGTCGTCAGAGCCCGAACCAACTCACAACGCCGCGCACGGGACGTGCCAGAGCCGGCACCAGCCGTCAGACAGGCAACAACAGTGTAATGGTGTAGTACTTGACAGCTTGCCGGTCCGGCGGCGGCCTGTCGGCGGCTGGGGGAGCCACGCACCGTCATGAGCGGACGGCCGAGGGCGGTCCTGCAGGCCGGTGAACGGCGCCGGTCCGGCCCGGGAGCCGGGTCGGCGCAGGTCGAGGTCGGCCGTCGAGCAGCGGCGCGGGGGCAGTGCTTCCGGCATGTACTTGCCACTGAAACCACACACGGCTGGTCAACGCCGGAAACGCTAAACACACGCACGCCCGACGGGGACAGCTATCGAAATCATGCAGCCAGGTCGACACCGGAAACGCTGCACAAACGGAGTCCGCCAGATATCTGTCACTGAAATCATGCATAGCCTCGTCGGCAACAAAAACGCTCTGTGATCACTTTTGAACTCACAAACTGACATAAAACCAACAGCCGTTACCTGATATCTCGCGCGTTACTACCAGCTATCAAATAGGCGACGTGCTGCGATGCAAGCCCATCCCCCAATGCGCAATTCAGGCCTCGCATATAGACTCGAGCGCATGAACTCCAAACACAAAAGCACCAAACATCCGCCAAGCTTCCGACCGTCTATGCCACAATCATAAAAACCATTGGGTTTACGTCTCACTGACCGCCAGGGCCATTTCGAGACGGATGTCATTATTAGGTATCATGTGGAATACGGGACCGTTTATGCCATCACGGCAGACCACATACTTCTGCGTCGGCCCTGCCGGTGGTGGCGGTGGCGGCGGCGGCGGCTGGCGCTCATCCAGCGGCGACAGGCCGTAGAAGGAGTTGTGGTTCAGCTGGTCGGTGGAGCACGCCTCCAGCAGGGCGGCCAGCTGCAGCTCGTTGTCGGTAACGCCCGGCAACAGTGTGCTGCTCGTGCCCGAGCACGTGGGGATGTACGCCGTTGACACTGAGGGCGGGCGCCGCCACGTCAGACAACAGTCGACCCACCGCCCGCCCAGCGTTCTGATCGTGCCCAAGCACGTGGGGTTGTACGCCGTTGACACTGAGGGCGGGCGACGCCGTATCAGACAACGGTCGACCCACCCCCGCCCAGCGCTCTGCTCGCACACGAACACATGAGAATGTGCGCCGTTAAAACTAAGGGCGGGCGGCGCCGCGTCAGACACCGACCAACCCACCGCCGGCCCAGCGCTCTGCTCGTGCCCGAGCACGTGGGCATGTACGTCGTCGACACTGGGGGCGGGCGGCGCCGCGTCAGGCACCGGCTCAGCGCGCTGTTCCGTGACGGAAAACAGTGGGCAGAACCAGCATCCGGTCAGCTCTCACCGTACCGGAGTGCCGCGGTGCAGTTGATGACGCATCGGCACAGACGGGTAAATGGACGGATCATGCTCACGCTACCGAAAATCACAGCTGCTTACCGCCGTCTAATCGTCGATTTTCATCACTAAGGGTGGTTTGGCATGCAGCGACCGGATAACACACATGCACACAACCATCGATTACCAGGATGACGACCACTGCTGCAGCCGGGCAAGACGTGAGTTGCTGGTCCTTACCTTGAGGCTCGCGCCTAAAGTTGTCGATCAAGTTGTAGGAGCCGTTGTTGAAGCCGTTGACGCTACCGGCCCTGTCCTTGCCGGAGATGAGCGCGGTCAGGCCAGGATCGCGGCGCGCAGATGGCAGGTAGTTCTGGTACACCGGCGGACGCTGCTCGAGGCCCGGCTGTCGGTCACGGCATAACGTCGTGGGAAGCTGCCCCGGCCAGCTCAGCAGAGATAGCAGCCAGCTGAAGGCCAATGGTCAATTGCGCAAGCCATCACACAGGACAGGGTGGGGACAAATGGCGGCCAGTGACGGCTTGGTTGGAGGTGTACGCTAAGGAAAACAACCATGTTTGAGATGGCAACAGACGCCAAATAATTCGCCAGATTGTCCTGTTTTTGTTGACAATAAAATGCATCACCAAAGACGGATTAATATTGAAATCTGGCACTTGCACATGTCCCACGATGGAAAAGAGATGACATGTATAACAACACATAGCCATCAATCGAAACGTACCGTGTTCCACACGAACCAACCATTGCAATCTTGCAGCATGCCCAGCATAACACCAGTGTCTGTCCCACTTCCAAGCTTCTGCACACCAACAAGAACAGCCTCGGTTCGGTCCGGTCGAAAGTAAATTTATACCCACCATTTTAGCGCACGTGGAGTAATTTGAAGGTATATCCGCTTCGGAGCGCTAACACTCCATGCTCTACAGCATTTGCCGCAGCCGCCGTTGTTAATGGATTGTAGCTGGAGCCACAAACCATAACCAATAAAGGTTTCTGTGACACTCGCACCAGACAACTTTAAAAACTTGACGGAACACACAGGCACCTTCCTTTTAAATGAAAGGGGGCGCGACGCACGTTGCCGATCATCGTCTTATGGAGCACCCACGACGAAGATGGACACATGAGCGCTCAGGGACCAGGTCGTAAAGCTAGGTTCTGACCCCCCGCCCCCCTGTGATGCCTATGAGGTCACACAATCCACCAGGGCGCTTCCTCCATGAATATTTTCCGAGGTGCGTTCGTCAACAGTATCACCCCCAAACTCAGTAACAAATACATTGCCCGCGCATTAGCACCGATCTGTGTCCACATACTCATCATTACTTGGAGCAAAATTGGACAAATCAGTAGAAGAGGGATGGCGCTTCCACTACAGGTCGACAAACCTTAAGGTACCACCATCGGTTTTCTCCTCCGATTTAGGCGACTTTATTTATAATGTACACAAAAACCAATCCATTTTGTATAAGTTGTTTCTGCTCGCAGTGTTCAGATTTTTATACCTAACACAAATGTACACAAAACCAACCCATTTTGTATACGTGTTTCTGCTCACATTGTTCAGATTTTTACATGCATAACTCTTTGGCTGAGATGGAAGAGCTGAGCTACGAGAGGTGAGAATGGGGAGGGGGATCCGCCCCCTATGAACGGCATCCTACACCTCCAATGACAATAGGAAATGGAATGAAAATGGGACATATAAATGTAAAATGCTGACAAGTGATCAGAATACCAGAATGACAATTTTGAATAAAACTGACAATTTGACCAATGATAATTTTGGAAAAAAAATCATCATTTCTCTAAAAACTAACAACACCTTTATTTTAGCACCCCACTAAAAGATGCTTATCACATTACCATCTGCTCATATTCACTTGCCATATGCAAATGTGTAAAGCAAGCTGTGATACAAACAGCGACGGAAAGCCGGTGTTGGCCCCCGCACGACATGACTGACCTGCGCGAACGACTTCACGTTGTTCAGAATGCCCAGTGGGTCGGTTTCGAACGCTCCCACGTCGCCGCCGCCGCCCAGGTCCACACGAGACAGCCCCAGCTGCTGATTCAGGTTTTCCAAGCCCAACTGTACGGCAGAAACATGCACGTACTCGTCAGCCACGACACAAAACACGCGCCAACATCTCACGCACACATAAGACCGTCTATCCCGCTTCCACTCAACAGACCGAGAGAAACAGAGCGGTCAGGAATGTTTCGACCCCGCGACTGCCGTCGCCTCCGCCGCGTGTCGCCCACCAACCTCCGAGAGTTCATCGCCGTTTGTACTGAGCGTGGAGAGGAAGTCGGCGTCGATGGAGGGGCCGCCGCCGGACGACGAGCCGGAGCTGAGACGCTCCCAGCCCGAGCACCAGGACCTGGCCACGAGCGGGGACCGTCCGTCAACACGCCGCCACCGACGGCCACACGCACACGGGACCGACCAGGTGGGCCCACTCGATGGCCCGCTGGGGCTGGCAAAAGGTGCTGACGGCACTCGGCGGTGTTGGGAGTAAGGTCAACGCGAA